AATGAAATTATTTTTTACCAATTATATAATGTGAACAAAAATACTAGGGGTTTTCTTTCTTTTGAATTTTTATTTTATTCCGTTATATAGATTACAAGAATAACATTTCCAGTATGATCTCACAAATAGGTACGGGGAGGGTGAAGTGTATATAGACCTTACCCCAATCTGGCACCTCGCTGGCATAGAGTATGGATAAAAAAAAGTGAGAAAATACAATTTTTTCAATTATCGTTCCGGTTTGCGTATCAAACATAGATCTAGCATATACTCATACAAAATTTTGGCAACTCAAAAAAATACTAAAACATTGATACGTGCTGCTTTCAAATCAAAGTCTAGAATTGAACATTAAAAAGGAAAATTAATTCTACTACAAAGGCAAGGAGGCAAAAAGTAGGACCAAAATAATTTCTAAACCAAGATGAACCATATATATATATATATATTAGCCAGTGTGTGTATCAGTACGTGTTATGTTCTAATCCAGTTGACAAATAAAAGAATTTTAAAATGGTTTCAAAATCATGTCTGAAGAAGAAAGAAAAAGGAAAACAAGCCTATGTTAATCTTGTTACTCATCTTCCAAATTTTATAAGAGATAGTCCATAAATTTAGAACCAAGACAAAAATAGAAAAGAAACCCAAAAAATTAAAATTGCAGGCCCTGAGCTAGTATTTCTAGCCATAAAGCACAGTAATATTTGCTTGATTGAACCATCATTTATAGGTGCAAAACCGAAGGGGCAAAAAGGGAAAAATAAAATGACTAAATTAATTTGGGTATAATCAAACTTACCAGCACATAATTACTGTCTTTCATTGTGAAAAAATAACTAGCAAAAATGGAGTGAATTAAGTGAAAAGGCAAATTTGTAGCGTCTCTATCGTGCTTGTATGACTCCTTTTGACCGCGGAGCTATTCCTGTAAAAATTTGAGTTAGATGAGAAGGAAAAATGGTGTCGTCTCTATCCGTTCAAATATTTTCTCTAGTACCGCTGAGATATTCCCTTAAATGCTTGAATATATTGAAGAAGCAAATCAGGTAGTGTCTTGTGTTTATATATATATATACTCTTGGCCGCTAAGTAGTATTCTCGTAAATTATGTTAGATCAATTTCGGCAATTCAAAATTATTACTTATCAAATAAAGACGAGAAGGTTTTTAAAGTGCAACTCTATGAATAAATGAGAGCTTAAATCAATTATCGGCAAGAATTTTCTTTTAAGATATATCATTTATTTCTGACACATTTGGCAATTAATTATGTCTTAATTTAATGTTATAGTGTTTCATGTGTTTTAACTTTGACAGGAATACGCGACATTCTTCTCAATCTTTTTACTATTTCATTTTGGAGATTAAGATTCTAAAATTCAAATATAGTATTTTATTTCTTAATAGATTTAGTCTTCAGGAAAACAAATTAATGATGTGGTAGTATTTTTATTAATTCAATAAGTCTCTTCAATTCTTAGATTATGTCAAGATGAATTCAAATAGTTCTCAACTATATAGTATCGAACCTAAACTCGACGAGGTAGTGACGAGGCTATAACAAAAAATCTATATAAATAAACATGCACAAGGGATATAAAGCAACAATAATAACAGAGAATGATATCGTACAAACTAAGAGGGGGCATGCGAAAAGGGGAAAACATAACAACTATGACACGTATGAAATCACGAAATAACCAAGTAAATTACCAAACCGGGAGAAATCAGTCAAACCAACAATATGAAAATGGTACGGCATCACCTTTCGTGCTTTTACTCTCATCCTCACCAAGCAATAATATGAATAAAATGGAATGACATCACCCTTCGTGCTTTTACTCTCGTCCGCACCATGTAATAATAAAATGAATGAAATGGCATGGCATCACCCTTCGTGTTTTTATTCTCGTCCTCACCATGAAATAATATGAATAATATGGCACGGCATCACCCTTTGTGCTTTTACTTTCGTCCTCACCATGTAATAATAAAATGAATAAAATGGCACAGTATCACCCTTCGTGCTTTTACTCTCTTCCTCTCCATGTAATAATGATAATGTATATGAAATGACACGGCATCACCCTTCGTGCTTTTACTATCTTCCTCACCATATAATAATGATAATATGAATCGAATAGTAATAATGCGAATAGTAAATTTAACTTCAAATATGGTGCCACAATACCAAATTTCAACTTTCAAAAATATTCAACAACTTGAAATAAGCAATAATTATGAAACGGATAATCAAAAAAGTAATAATCTAATCTAAGCATGGATTTCATCATTAGCAAAGCAATAAAATACAAAGAAATAAGTTCCGCACACATACTTTAACCTAATAACAATGCATAAGTACTCCTCATCTCATATATACGTTATTCTCGCACATAAATACGTAGCAAATAGACTAACAAGTCCTAATCCCTTAAGTCAAGATTAACCAGGACACTCACCTCCCTCCGCAACCAAATCAAAGCTCAACCACGGCTTTTTCTCTAGAATTAGCCTCCAAACCAATCAAATCTAACCAAATATAATTCAAATAATTCAAAATAAGCATTAGCAACTACTCACGAGTGAAATATTTTCAATCTTTAAGGTTTGTTGGAAAAAGTCAACAAAAGTCAATCCCTAATCTCTATCATGAAAAAGCATAGATTAAAGGTTAAAATCAATGCTTGTTTATGAAAATGGAAGGAAACAAGTTAAAATCTACTAACCTATGAAGTTGGGATGAAAAATCTCTTCAAAATCGCCTCTAGGTCGAGCTCAAACTTGAAAATGATTGAAAAATAGATTGAACCCGACTTTGGGATATTTAAATCACTGGGCGCCAGGCCTTCTTCGTGTTCGTGAAGGGCCTGACATGATCGCGAAGAGCAGCGGCCCAAAAGTCCTTTGCGTTCGCGATGGCTTGTCCCCCATGGCCTATTTGTTCGTGAGCCTGGGTAGAGTAACATACCAACTCCCCAGTTCCCTCCCTAACACTATGCGTTCGTGAAAGGATGGTCGCGTTCACAAAGGGTAAACCCCTGCACCCCCCACCCCCATTATTTCACGTTCGTGACGAACTCCTCACGTTCGAGATGGGTAATTTCCTCCTCATCCCAGATTCCCCTTCGCGATCGCGAAGCACAAAATGACAAACACCAGCAACAGAAAAACCAGCAAATTTCTTAAGTCCAAAATCGATCTGTAGCCTATCCAAAACTCACCTGAGCCCCTCGTGCTACAAATCAAACTTTCATACAAGTGTAATAACCTCATACGAACTCGCTCGCTAAATCAAAAATCAAAATAACACCTAGAACTACGAATCGGATATCAAAATGCATGAGATTTTTAAAGAAACTTAAGAACTTTCAAATTCACAACCGAACGTCCGAATCACATCAAATCAACTTTATTTTGCACCAAATTTTGCAGACCAGTCTTAAATGGTAAAATGAATCTATACCAAGTTTCGGAACCGAAATCCAAACTCGGTAGCTATAAAGTCAACCTACGGTCAAACTTCGAAATTCTTTAATTCAAATTACTAGTTTTCAATAAATCACGTCAAAACAAGCTAGAGACTTTCAAATTCAATTCCGGGCATACACCCAGGTCCCAAATCACGTTATGGATCCACCGAGATTGTCAAAATACTGATCCGAGTCTTTTTACACAAAATGTTGACCGTAATCAACTAAAATCATTTTAAGGCAAAAATTCACACTTTCTTCAATTTGTTCCGCATAAAGGCTTTTTGGAATAAGATACGGGCTGCGCACGCAAATCGAAAAATTCTAAATAGAGATAATCGAGATATCAAAACATGGAAATAAAGGCTAAAACGCAATATGACTTATCGGGTCATCACATTCTCCACCTCTAAAACAAGCGTTCTTCCTCAAACATACATAGAAAGGTACCTGGACTAGTGAAAAGGTGTTGGTATCTACTCGATCAGCTCACCTCTCCACTGCACTCTAACAGAAAGATAACTCTTAGACCTCAAACTCGGACCTGTCATGCTAGAATGGTCACCAGATCCTCCTTGTAAGTCAAATCCTTGTCCAATTGGACTAAGATGAAATCTAATACATGGGACGGATCATCATGATACTTCCGGAGCATGGAGACATGGAACACCAGGTGAACTGCTGATAAGCTAAGTGGCAATGCAACTTGTAGTCTACCTCGCCAACTCTCTGAAGAATCTCAAAAAGTCCGATATACCTAGGGCTCAACTTGTGATCCTTTCTGAACCTCATCACACCCTTCATGGGTGAAACCTGGAGCAAAACCCTCTCTCAAACCATGAATGCAACATCACAAACTCTACGATTGGCATAACTCTTCTGCCTAGTATGAGCTGTGCGAAGTTGATCCTCAATCATCTTGACCTTTTCCAAGGTATCCTGAACCACAGCGGAACCCAACAACCGAGCCTCTCTCGACGCAAACAGTCCAACTGGCAAATGACACTGCCCTTCCCCCCTCATGTAATGCCTCATAGGGAGCCATCTGAATACTTGGTTGGTAGCTTTTATTGTAGGAAAACTCCACAAGCAGCAAGAACTAATCCCAAGAACCCCAGAAATCCATAACACATGCGTGAAACATATCCTCCAATATCTGATTGGTGTGCTCGAGTTGTCCATCCGTCTGGGGTGAAATGTTGTACTCAACTCAACCCGTGTGCCTAACTCACACTGTACGGCCCTCCAGAACTACGATATGAATTGTGTACCCCAATAAGAATTGATGGTCATAGGCACATGGTGAAGATGAATTATCTCGCAGATATAGATAGCCAACTGCTTTGAAGAATAAGTAACTACAACTAGAATGAAATGTGCAAACTTGGTCAACCCGTCCACAATGAATCATACCGCGTCAAATTTCTTCGAAGTTTGTGGGATCCCAACAACGAAATCCATGGTAATACACTCCCACTTCCACTCCGAAATCTCAAGTCTCTGAAGTAGACCACCAGGCCTCTGATGCTCATACTTTACTTGCTGGCAATTCAAACACCGAGACACATATGCAACTATATCCTACTTCATTCTTCTCCACTTATAATGCTACCTCAAATCCTAATACATCTTGGATGCACCCAGATGAATGGAATATTGCGAACTATGGACTTCCTCAAGAATCAACTCACGACGCTCATCCACATTGGGCACACAAATCCGACCCTGCATCTGCAACACCCCATCATCTCCAATAGTAACCCACTTGGCACCAGCGTGCGACACCATGTCCTTAAGGACAATAAAATAGGGGTCTTTATATTGACACTCTCTGATGCACTCATACAAAAAAAACAGAGAGACCTTGCAAGCTAGGACTCAGCTAGGCTCTGAAGCATCTAACCTCATGAACTAATTGGCCAAGGCCTGAACATCTGATGCTAGCGGTCTTTCCCCAACTGGAATATATGCAAGGCTACCATACTCACAACCTTTCTACTCAAGGCAACGGTCACCACATTGGCCTTCCCAGGATGATACAAAATGGTGATATCATAGTCTTTCAACAGCTCCCACCACCTCCGCCGCCTCAAATTGAGATCCTTCTGCTTGAACAAATACTATAGACTCCGATGATCTGTGAATACCTCACACGACACACCGTAGAGGTAATGCCTCCAAATCATTAGTGCATGAAAAATGGCTTCCAACTCTAAGTTATGAACAAGGTAACTCTTCTCATGAACCTTCAACTACCGAAATGTGTATGCAATCACCTTGCCATCCTGCATCAATACTGTATCAAGACCAATACGCAATGCATCATAATACACCATGTAGGATCCTGAACCTGTGGGCAACACCAACACTGGGGCTATAGTCAAAGTAGTCTTAAGCTTTTGAAAGCTCAACCTAAACTCATCTAACCACCTGAATGGGGCACCCTTCTAGGTCTATCTAGTCAATGGGGCTACTATGGATAAAAAACCCTCCATGAACCGGCGATAATAACCCCTCAAACCCAGGAAACTTTGAATCTATATAACTAAAGTAGGTCTAGGCCAATTTGGAACTGCCTCAATCTTCTTCGGTTCCACTTTAATGCCCTCGGCCGATACAACATACCCCAAAAAGGTATTCAAATCCAGCAAAAACTCACACTTGGAAAACTTGGCATATAATTGGCTACCTCTTAGAGTTTGAAGTACAACTCAAAGATGTTGCTCATGCTCCTCTCGACTGCGGGAGAAGATCAAGATATCATTAATGAATACAATCACAAAAGAATCAAAATAGGCTTAAATACCCGGTTCATCAAATCCATAAATATTGTTGGGGCATTTGTCAACCCAAATGACGTTACTAGGAACTTATAATGCCCATACTGAGTTTGAAAGCTGTCTTAGGGACATCTGATTCCCTAATCTTCAACTGACACTCAAATCAATCTTTGAAAACAGTTTGGCACCTTGAAGCTGATCAAATAAGTGATCAATCCTTGGCAACGTATTCTAGTTCTTGATATTGACTTTGTTCAACTACTGATAGTCTATACACATCCTCATCGAACCATCCTTCTTCTTTACAAACAAGACGGGAGCACCTTAAGGCGAGACACTAGGTCTAATGAATCCCTTATCAATCAAATCTTGCAACTGCTCCTTCAGTTCCTTCAACTCAGGCGGGACCACACGGTATGGTGGAATAAATAGGCTGAGTGCCCGGAGCCAAGTCAATATAGAAGTCCATATCTCTATCGGTTGGCTTCCCTGGCAGATTTGCAGGAAACACCTCTAAAAACTCACACACAACGGGTACTGAATCCATGGAAGAAACCTCCATACTAGAATCACAAATATATGCCAAATAAGCTAGACATCTCTTCTTAACCATACGCTGAGCCTTTACATAAGAAATAACCCTGCTGGTAGAATGGCCAAGAGTCCCTCTCCACTCTAATCGAGGCAACCCAGGCATGGCCAAGGTCACCATCTTGGCATGACAATCCAATATAGCATGATAAGATGATAGTCAATCCATGCCCAAAATAACATCAAAGTCTAGCATATCAAGAAATAGGAGATCTACACTAGTCTCAACACTCCCAATAGTAATCATACACGAGCGATAAACACAGTCTACAATAGTAGAACCTCCCACAAGTATGGACATATATACAAGAGCACTCAAAGAATCACGAGGCACAACCTGATATGAAGCAAAATAGGATGACACGTAGGAATAAGTAGAGTCCAGATCAAATAGAACTGAAGTATCTCTATGGCAAACTGGAACAATACATGTGATAACGATGTCAGATGACTCGGCCTCAGGTCTAGCCGGGAATTAGGACTGTTTATCGGGTGGATTAGGTGGTTATTTACTCTTAACGGTTTGGCTTATCAGTTATCGGCTTTTAAATATATTAATTTGCTAGCCATCCGATAAGATATTGGGTGAGTTGGTATCGGTTTAGCTCTTATCGGGCGGTTATTGGGCGGTTTATTGGCCTAATTCAATCTATTTTGGAGAGTGAAAAAGGTAGAACACATTGTACATTGTAGGCTACATTAGCTAAAGATAAACTGAATGAGTTGATTCATTACCTTTCCAACATTGCCATTGATAAAGTTGTTACTACAATTGAGATCTCTATGAATAACACCGTTAAACCGTAACACCGTTACTACAATTGAGATCTCTTGATAAAGTTCATTACAGTTGATTCATTACCTTTCCAACATCCGTTAAACCGTTAACTCGATACCAATAAGCCTATTAGCTTAGATTTTGGTTCAGTTTTCGATTTCAGATCGGTTTTGAACACCCCTACCTGGAATGCATAAAAATAGGGCTGGGCCCACCACTCTGACCTCTACCTCTCAGACGGACTCTAATTGGTTGGCCTCTACCTCTAACAGCCTGGCCTCCACCTCTAACAACTTTACTTCTAACTCTAGTAGCCTGACCCCTACATCTAGCTAGCTGAGCGGCAATAAAGCAACCGGTGCCGGAACCATGGCATGAGAACTCTACTGTGGGATGCTGCCCTGTGACTTGGGGAAAAATCTAGAGAGGTGTCTCAAATCTTCACAAGTATAACAAGCCCTTAGCTGTTGTGACTCCTGACCTTGGAACTGGCCATGTCAACCTAGATAACCATTCTGATAACTCTGGATCGGAGGTGCACTAATAGGAGCCGATGGTGCACTGTAGGCTAGATGCTCAAGATAAGATACATAAGGACCATGACTACCCGAAGCACCGTGGGATGCCTGAAGTGCTGACTGAAATGGATTAGGAGGATGGCCTCTACCAAAATTATCCCTACCTCTAGACGAGGCACCACTGAAACCACCAAAATGATGAGGCCTCTTATCAAACACCGGCCCCCACTCCTGACCATGAACCATGTCGATCCGTCTAGCAATCTCTATTGCCCTCTGGAACGAAATATCATCTCCGATCTCATTGGCCATTTGTAGCCTGATGCTGAAAGTGAGTCCATCAATGAATCTTCTCGCTATCTCCCTCTCAGTAGGGACTAAAATAACTACATGGCGAGCTTGGTCCACAAATCGGGTCTCATATTGGGTAATAGTTATGTTACCCTATTGAATCACTCGAACTATCTATGATACTCCTCTCTCAGAGTGAAAAGAGTGAACTTTTCTAGAAATAGTTGTGAAAACTAATCCCGGGTAAGTGAAAGTGCACCATATGGTCTGGTCAATACATAATCTCTCCACCATCTCTTGGCAGAACCGATCATCTGGAACACTACAAAGTCGACCCCGTTGGTTTCAACTATACCCATGTTGCTCAATACTTCGTGGCAACGATCCAAGTAATCATGTGGGTCCTCAGAGGGTGCACCACTAAAGTGAATAGGGAAGAGCTTTGTGAACTTGTCCAATCTCATCAATCCCTTTGTAACATCACAGGCCTTTCCCAGTCTGTGCCGAAATAACTGGCTAAACTACCCCAACTAGCTAGGATGCTAGAGTCTAATATAGGGGATCCATCTTCTCCAAAGTGTGAGTAGTAGGAGTCTGTGCTCTTCCCCTAGCCTGAGAGACTGCCGGTGCCATCAGAAATGCACTGGTCTAGGCCACATCTCCATAAGGCCCATCAAGTGGACTAGAGCGTCCTGAAGCACTAGAGTGACTATGAATCCCTCAAGGATCTGAGCTAGTCCAACTAGTATGGTCCGAGCTGGAATCTCCTCATCATGATCAATCTAAGGCTCCACCATGGGTGCTGCTACATGAGCTTTAGGATGAGCCCTACCTCTGGCTCGACCTCTAGTAGCTGCAATAGGGGGATGCGGCTCCTGCCCGGCTGTAGATGTTGTGCGTTTCCTCACCATCTGCAAGAGGACAAGAATGAAATGATTCAAATATCAGTGATAGAATAAAATCGCACAATATGGAAAGAAAGAAGTGAAATTTTCCTAAAACTCTATAGCCTTTGGAAGATAAGTACCGACGTCTCTGTATCGATCCTCCATACTCTACTAAGCTTGCTCATGACTTGTGAGACCTAAGCAACCTAGTGCTCGCATACCAACTTCACAACCCGGAATCCCAAAGTCGAGGTCATGATGGCGCCTAGCATCTACTTACTAGGCAAGCCGACGTGAAGCAAAAAATTAACTGATTTTAACAATTAAAAACAAAATATTAATAATGATAACAATATAAGTCTGAGGTAGAGTAAAATAATACCGAACAACAAAGTCTAAGCATGACCCAGAACCAGGAGTCACGAGTACATGAACATCTAGAGTGCTACAAACAAGGTCTGAACAAAATACAATTGTTTTGCAACTCAATAAAACAGTAAGGATATAAGGGAAGGGGACCTTAGGGCTGCGAACACTATGCAGCTATACCTCAAGTCTGCAACAGTAACTGAATCCAAGAAAAAGCTACTAAGAACCGCTAGGACCAATACCAGTATCTGCACAAGGAGTACAGAAGAATAGTATGAGTACAAATGGCCCAATGTACGCTATAACTGTCGAGCCTAAGCTCGACAAGGTACTAACGAGGCTATGACAAGGAATTTACGTAAATAAACATGTACAATGGTATATAAAGCAACAATAATAACATAGAATGCTATTACATAAACTAGGAGGGACATGTAAAAAGGGGAAAATATAACAACTACAACATGTATGAAATCACAAAATAGCCAAGTAATACACCAAACTGGGAGAAATCAGTCAAATCAATGATATGGAAATGTCACGGCATCACCCTTCCTACTTTTACTCTCGTCCTCACTATGAAATAATATGAATAAAATGGCACGACATTACCCTTCTTACTTTTACTCATCCTTACTGTATGATAATAAAATGAATGAAATGGCACAATATCACCATTCGTGCTTTTACTCTCTTCCTCACCATGTAATAATGATAATGTAGATGAAATGGCACGACATCACTCTTTGTTCTTCTACTTTCTTCCTCACCATGTAATAATCATAATGTAAATAAAATGGCATGGTATCACCCTTCGTGCTTTTACTCTCTTCCTCACCATATGATAATGATAATATGAATTCAAAGAGTAACGATGCAGAGAGTAGATTTAACTTCAAATATGGTTCCATAATACCAAACTTCAACTTCCAAAAATATTCAACAACTTGAATAAGCAATAATTATGAAACGGATAATCAAAGAAGTAATAATCTAAAGCATGGATTTCATAATTAGCAAAGCAATAAGATACAAAGAAACAAGTTTTGGCCGCATGCTTTAACCCAATTTTAACGTATAAGTACTCGTCACCTCACATATATGTTGTTCCCACACATAAAACAGGTAGAAATTAGACTAACAAGTCTTAATCCATCAAGTCAAGGTTAACCACGATACTTACCTTACTCCGCAACCAAATCAAGGGTCAAACGCGACTTTCTTCTAGAACTAGACTCCAAACTAATCAAATCTAACCAAATATAGTTCAAATAATTCAAAATAAGCTTTAGAAACTACCCACGAGTGAAAAGGATTCAATCTTTAAGGTTTTGGAAAAAGTCAACAAAAGTCAACCCCGAGCCCACTTGGTCAAAACCCAAGACTCGGACCAAAACCTAATTATCCATTCACTCTCGAGCCCGATTATGTGATTAGTTTCGAACTCCAGCCTCAATTTGATGTCTAAATCTCAATTTCTCAAAAATCCCCAATTTCTACCTAAATCCCTGATCCCTATCATGAAAAAGAATAGATTAAAGGTTAAAATCAGTGGGTATTTATGAAAATGGAAGGAAACAAGTTAAAATATACTAACCTATGAAGTTGGGATGAAAAATCTCTTCAAAATTGCCTCTAGGCCGAGTTTAAACTTGAAAATTATGAATAACGGGTTGAATCCCGACTTTGGGATATTTAAATCACTAGGCGTTAGGCATTCTTCGCGTTCGCGAAGGGCCTGAAGCGATTGCGAAGAGCAGAGGCCCATGTGGCCTTCGCGTTCGCAAGAAACGCTACGCGTTTGCGATGGCATGTCCTCCCTGGCCTTCTCATTCATGAGCCTGGGCTCGCGTTCGCGTAGAGTAACAGACCACCTCCTTAGTTCCTTCCCTAACACTACGCGTTCGCGAAAGGAGAGTCGTGTTTGCAAAGTGTAACCCCACCCCCCACTACTTCGTGTTCGCGATGAGTAATTTCCTCCCCATCCTAGATTCCCCTTTGTGATTGCGAGAGTACCTTCACGATAGCAAAGCACAAAATGACAGACACCAGAAACGGCAAAACCAACAGATTTCATAAGTCTAAAATCGATCCGTAGCATATCTGAAACTCACCCGAGTCCCTCAGGCTCCAAACCAAACATGCACACAAGTGTAATAACCTCATACGAACTCACTCGTGCAATCAAAACACCAAAATAATACCTAGACCTACGGATCGGACATCAAAATGCATAAAATTTTCAAAGAAACATAACAACTTCTAAAGTGACAACTGAACATCTGAATCACGTCAAATGAACTCTATTTTGCACCAAATTTTGCAAAAAAGTCTTAAATGGTAAAATGAACCTATACCAAGTTCTGAAACCAAAATCTAAACTCAGTAGGTATAAAGTCAACCTACAGTCAAGCTTCAGAATTCTTTAAACCTTTAAATTACTAATTTTTAACAAATCACGTCGAAATAAGCTAAGGACTTCCAAATTCAATTTCGGGTATACGCCCAGGTCTCGAATCACAATACAGACACACCGGGATTGTTAAAATTCCAATTCGAGTTCGTTTACACAAAATATTGACCGTAGTCAACTCAAATTATTTTAAGGTAAAAATTCCCACTTTCTTCAATTTTTTCACATAAAGGCTTTCCAGAATAAGACACAGACTGTGTATGCAAATCGAGAAATGCTAAACAGAGCTACCAAGGTTTCGTAACATAGAAATAAAGGCTAAACTAAAAATGACCTATCGATCATCATAGTTAATCAGATTTGATATCCAATTTGAACAATCAGATTCACTACAAAATTGAAGTATGCATTAAATTCTTATAGATATATTTGTAGTTAGCTTGCATTAAAAGTTTTTTGTTTTTATTTTTGGGATTTGGAAAACGTTAAGTCCCCTCTGTACAAACTTGTATAAATATAGAAGTTAACATATGCGTGACACATTAAAACTTGAAAATATATATAACTCAAAAAAATCCTTTTATGTGTTGCGATAATCGCGATATTTAAAAGAACCTATTAAGTATTTTAGGTTTTTAGATCTATGGGCTAAAGAACCAGATTTCAATGCAGTGGTTGAAGAAGTTTGGAATGTGGAAGTACAAGGATCTCCAATGTGGAGGTTCCATCTCAAGTTAAAAAACACTTGCAAGAAATTGGAAGAATGATCAAGATTTCTATTGGAAATGTCTTTGAGAAGGTTATTGAAAGGGAAAAAAAGGTGAGGAAACTAGAGGAAGAAATCATCAATGAAAACACAAATATGAACATAGCTGAATTAAATCATGCAAATGCTCTCCTGATTAGGGCATATAAGAAGGAAGAATCATTCTGGAAACAAAAATATAGGGTGAAATGGTTTGTAGAGGGTGAAGTGAACTCAAGGTTTTTTCATTCTATAGTTAAAGGAAGAAATAAAAGATTATCTCTAAAGAAGATGGGGGGGGGGATGATGGAAACTAGATTGAAGGGGAAAAGAGATTGCAAATGAGGTTGTCTCCTTTTTTCCAAAAACAGTTCACAAAAGATAGTTATGTTAATGACTTCTCAGCTCTCAATTGTATTCCTAAACTCATTGATAAGGTAGATAACGTGATGCTAAATGTAGTCCTACGATGAAGGAATTGAAAGGAGGGGTGTTATTAATGAGCTCACAGAGTACCCCAGGGCCTAATAGAGTACCTAGGAAGTTCTACCATGCATGTTGGGAGATCATCAAGGAGGATCTAATTCTAATGATTCTTGACTTTTTT